ATAATAAGGAGAAAAGCCAATGGAGTTGTAGTGGGTTGGGGTTGTAAGGAAGAGAAACCTTTTTACGCGGCAAATTATAAGAAAATGGAATCGGTGAAAACAGATGCAATAATTTTTAAAACAAAACTGGACATACACCTGGAAAGGAATGGAAATTGCCAACAAGATTAGGGACTGACTATAATAGGATAGCTCCTTCAAAGAGGCAGCACTGGAACAATGGGCTAAATGGCCTCCTCCTGCTGTGCAGGACTGTGACTGCTGTCTCTTCAGGCGGATTCTGATCTCAGGATTGGGTTTTGAGCCAGATGCAGGACAGTTATAACTGCAGATATGGCAATGGGTAAGCAGCATGTCCTAGGTGAGTGTGGAAACCATGAACTCTGACCAAATCTGAGCAAAGGGCATGTTTCTGAGAATGGCATCTTGGCTAATCTCAGTGTGACCACTTTTGTGTTGTGCACATGAAGGAGACCCTTCAATCATCAAGTTGTAAAGAAATAAAAGGATAATTAAGCAACAAATGTCTGAACATTCTGACATTCAAATTCCTGAAATGCAGTTAGCTTATCTTCTGACTAATCTTTAATGAAATCCTCAGAGCATTAAGATGTACCATTATCATGTATCAGTAAAAATGGTCTGTCTGGAAAGCAGAGTAGATGGGCAATATCATCGTTACAGAGTGACACCAATTCTTATCACTGCTTGTCATCAGGTTTTGCACACACACACAATTATTTCAATTTACTTTAGGACTTCTCTGAGTTGGAGACACCATACATGTAAAATCTGAGGTTTTATTAAAAATACAAATAAACCTAAAATACTTGGCCATCTTTTGGTTTTGTGCATCTTATCAATCAGTACCAGAAAGCAAGACGCGCTGGGCACGAGCAGCCGAGAAGTTACTGGGTTGTGTGGAAACTTTGTCTCCACAAACCCCTTTCACTAATTGTCACTCTTTTAAGGGGTATTAACTGCACAGGTTTGCAGGGAAACATAAGGATACTTAATTAAACAAGTCCATTGCAGCTTCAGTGTGCAGTGCGATTGAAAAGACCGATTCCAACATATTCAGCAAGTCAGAATGTTAACCTGAAATAGATGCCATCCAGTATAAAAGCAAAATTTTTATAGGCCTGTCCCACTGTTTGCATAATTTTAAACACGTCAAGGCTAAATCTTTGAGATATCTGGTGGTCCTGCAGTTCCAGGTCAACTCACGTCCACCTCAGCATATCTAATGTTAATTGTAAGACTTGTGCAGGAAGACAGACACAGTGGGGCGAACACCATGTGGTGGCAGATGTGATGGTGGATGGAGGCTATTTTGAAAAACGGTGCAGTCTAATACTGAGATTAGCTTTTAATTCTAGATATGTTAATTCAATTTAAATTCCACAAGCGCTATGGTGGGATTTGAACACAAGTCCCCAGAGCATTAACCTGGGCCTCTGGATTACTAGCCCAGTGCCATTATCACTATGCTTCCATCTCCCCAGTTTATAGTAAATACAACCCTTGCTAAGTATACCAACGGGGATAATAACACAACACGAACATCAGCCTTCAAAGCAAAGGAAGTGTACAAAGGACAGCCTGAGGGTAACAATTCCAGGGCACCAAATTTTAACCACGAAGGCAAGACTGAGCCATTTACTCACCTGCATCCTGCAAGCCACCGAAAGCCCATAAAAGGAGCTGCATCAGGACATTATTGAAATGAGTCACAACATATTGCAGCAACCCGGAATTGCGCAAAGCAGAACAGGAGCATTTATACAGAGTTTTTAAAAGGAATGGATACCCAAAAAGCACAATCTGCTGTTACCTCCGCGACAGACTACAACAAGGAGGCACAACACAGCCAGACACACTAGTCACCCTACTATCCACAAGAGACATATTGGAGAAGACCACAAGATTGCTCAGACCCCTAGACATCAGGGTAGCCCACAAACCAACAACACCCTAAGACAGTGTGGAGCTGGAGGTACACAGCAGGCCAGGCAGCATCAGAGCAGTAGGAAAACTTTCCTGCTCCTCTAATGCTGTCTGACCTGCTGTGTTCCTCCAGCTCCACACTGTGTTATCTCTGACTCCGGCATCGGCAGTTCTTACTATCTCTGAGTGAGTTAACACCCTCTGACAGCTACTGATGAACGTAAAGGATCCCATACGCACAACCAACAAAACCAACGTAATATACAAAATACCCTGCAAGGACTGTGAGAAACATTACATAGGCCACACTGGAAGAAAACTGACAATAAGGATACACGAACACCAACTAGCCACCAAGAGACATGACCAATTCTCACTGGTCTCAGAACACACGGGCAAAGAACGACACGAATTCGACTGGGATAACACATCCATAATAGCACAAGCCAAACAGAGACATACTAGGGAATTCCTGGAAGCGTGGCATTCCAACAGGAACTCCATCAACAAACACATTGAACTAGACTTGATATATAAACTACTGAAAAACAAAATCGACGTGATGCCAACCACCCCAGCAAACCATGGCATACAAATAGCCAGTGGGACAGAACACCGACACTTCACCGGAGGCGCATTGACGATGTTACCTAGCAGGGTGACGAAACGTCTGCAAACAAACCCACCGGATCGGCAAGCAAGTCTACAACCTCATCCTATAATTTTTTTTTTGGTCCCAGAGTTAGGAACATTGTATGGATGAACTTTCCTGCAAGCAAGGTTTCCCAGGGGAAGAACTAACTTTGGAAGATGAACATTTGTGCATCCCACACCAGAGGGTATGAAGTGACCACAAGCACCTTGCACACAATGTGATTTAATTATTGTCTGTCTAGTGAGCATGTAGAGGTGTTGGGATGGGATGAGCATTTTCAGAATGGCAATCTGCAGCTAGTGCAATGTCACAAGGATCAGTGCTGGCACCACAATTACTTACAATATATAGAAATGACTTGGATGAGGAAAGTGGATGTACTATAGCAAAGTCGGCGGATGACAAAAGAGAGTGGGAAGTCAAGCAGTGAGCACAAAGATTCTGCAAAGGGATCTGGACAGGTTAGATGTGTGGACAATAGTTGGCAGATGGAATACAATGGGGAAAAGTGAGGTTATACAGTTTGGCAGGACGAATAGAAAAGCTGAATGTTTTTTTTTTAAATGGAGAAGGTCTGAAGACAGCAATGGAACAGAGAGATTCGGGAGTTCTCATCCTTGAATCATAAAAATCTAGCATCCAATTTCAGCAGGTAATAGGGAAGGCAAATGGAAGTTTGGCCTTTATTTCAAAGGGAATAGAATATAACAGTAGGGAGGTCTTGCTTAAAATTACACAAGGCACTAGTGAGACCACAACCAGAATACTGTGAACAGTTTTGCTCCACTTATCGAAGCAAAGATACACGGCTATTGGAGGTAGTCCCAAGAAAGTTCACTAGGTTGGTCACAGATATGGGATTGGATTATGAGGAGAACACAGAAATATAGAAGATAGCAGCAGGAGGGGGCCATTCAGCCCTTCGAGCCTGTTCCGTGATTCTTCACGATCATGGCTGATTGTCCAACTCAAAAGCTTAATCCTGTTTTCCCCCCATAACCTTTGATCCCATTCGCCCTAAGTGCTATATCTAGTCGCCTCTTGAATACATTCAATGTTTTGGTATCAACTACTTCCTGTGGTAATGAATTCCAAAGGCTCACCACTCTCCTCACCTCCGTCCTAAATTGTCTACCCCAAATCCTCACACTGTGACCCCTGGTTCTGGACACACACACACCATCGGGGACATCCTCCTTGCATCTACTCTGTCCAGTCCTGTTAGAATTTTATAAGTCTCTATGAGATCCCCCCTCATTTGTCTGACCTCTAGCGAAAACAATCTCAACCTCTATGTCTCCCCTCCATGCATCAGACCCACCATTCCCGGAATCAGCCTGGTAAATCTTCGCTGCACTCACTCAAGAGCAAGAGCATCCTTCCTCAGAAAAGGAGGCCTAAACTGCACACAATATTTTAGGTGTGGCCTCACCAAGGCCCTGTACAACTGCAAAAACACTTCCCTGCTCCTGTACTCAAAACCTCTCGCAATGAAGGCCAACATACCATTTGCCTTCTTTACCGCCTGCTGCACCTGCATGCTTACCTTCAGCAACTGGTGCACAAGGACACCCAGGTCCCATTGCACACTCCCCTCTCCCAATTTACAGGCATTCAGGTAGTAATCTGCCTCGGGTAGAGTTGGGCAGACTGGGTCTGTACTCGTTGGAATTTCGAAGGATGAGATGACCCTTATTGAAGCTTATAAGATTCTTAGATGTCTTGTCAGGGTAGATGTGGAAATGCTATTTTCCGTTGTGGGAGAATCTAGGACCAGAGGGCATAATCTCAGAATAAGGGGTCACATATTTGAGTTGGATTGAGGAGGAATTTCTTCTCACAAAGGGTAGTGAATCTTTGGAATTTTTTTCTTTGAAGGGCTTTAGAGTCATTAAGTATATTCAAGGCTGAGGTAGATTTTTAATCAATAAGGGAATCCAAGAGTTATGGGGAAAAGGCAGGAAAGTGGAGTTGAGGATTAGCAGTTCAGCCATGATCTCATTGAATGGTGGAGTAGACTCGATGGGCTGAATGGCCTAATTCAGTTTCTATGTCTTATAGTTTTAAGGAGCTAAGATTCAGATCAATTGTGATCTAATTGATTGGAGGAACTGGCATGAGTCGCTGAATGGTTTCCTGCTTCTACGAGGCAGGCAGGAATGCATTGGGAACAATGTATTCCTCAGGATGCCCATGCATCACTTTAAAGGAGTCTGCTTTATCCAACAAATATTGCCATGGTGGATGACCTCGCTCCAACAAAGAATACTCATAAATGGTGGTCTGATCAGGAGCTGAAGCTCCTAGGTTGTCCCTGTTTTAATTTGTATTTTGAGTACATTGCAAGCCATTAATTTTTTGTGTTGTTTAGAAATCAAATCCCTTACTCCTTACTTACCAGTTCCTCCTGCCCATGTGTTGCCCCCAACATGCGGGGCGTTGTCCACATCAATTCTTCCATGTTTAGGGGCAGTCACATCCAATCCACTATCCCTCTCTATCGTAATCTGAAAGGAGAAAATATTCCAATTATTTTTCCCTCCTCTTTGAGTGGAAATCATTAAGTTGAACAAACCTTTTGGAGGTGACCAACTTTACTGTGCGCTATCAGACTGTTTAATCCCTCAGGAGATAGTAGTCTTGCTTCAGAGTCAAAAACATGAGGGTTTCAGAGAACGTTCCGGACGCTAGGCTGACAATCCAATGCAGTACTAAGGGAGTACTGCACCATTAAACTTTTTTTTTTTTAAGTGTTCTCCTAGGTGGCTATAAGTGACCTGTGGTATTATTTAGAAGAGGAGGAAGGGGGCTAACCCTGGTGCCCTGGCTAATATTCATCTCCCTATGGCTTGTAATTGTCACATTGCACTTTGAGGGACCTTGCTCTTGGTGAGTTAACTTCTATGCTTTTTACATGACAATTGCAATAACACAACAAAAAATAATTAACCTGCTGGAAAATGCTTTGGAATGTCCTGAGATTATAAAAAGTGCTTTTATAAATGTAAGTCTCTATTTCTTCATCTTTTAGGGTAGACCAGACTCAGAGAAGTGATTGGTCAAGGATTGGGAATTTTGAAAATCAAGACATAGGGCAAGTTGCAAAGGGGAAGGGCTTCCTTTATCACTAGCTGTGGGTGATCCAATGAGGATGTGACTTCAGCCACATAAAATAAAATAGTAACAGCAGCATTGCACAGTATTCAGTGTAGTGCAGTATACATTACAGAGAAAAGGCATTCAGTTCATTATGTTTGTGTTGGCATTTAAAGGCCTCAGTACTGCCAAACGATCATACTCCCCGGCAATAGGAAAAAGTTTCCATAGAATCCCTACAGTGTGGAAACAGGCCATTTGGTCCAATGTGTCCACACCGACCATTCGAACAGCATCTCACCCAGACCCATAGCCCTGATCCTATCCCTGCAAACCTACATTTTCATGGCTAATGCATCTAACCTCCACATACCTCAACACTATGGCTACTTTAGCATGACTAATCCATCTAACTTGCTCACCTTTGGACTGTGGGAGGAAACCGGAACACCCGGCGGAAACCTATGCAGTCACAGGGAGAGCATGCAAACTCCACAGAGTCGCCTGAGGTTGGAATCGAACCTGGGACCCTAGCACTGTGAGGCAGCAGTAATAACCACTGAGCCACCATTCAGTCTACGTACTTTATCAAATGCCTTCATAATTTTGATTATTGCGCTTAGTAAATCTCCTCTCAACCTCTGCTTAAAACGTCAACCAGAAAACTATTCAAATTCATCCTCCAGTTTATATTCAAATCAATCACAAAAACACAGTGGCCACAATCTGACATTTCCACTGAGAAGCAGCATGGACCAATGCCCCTCTCACAAACACACTCGTTTTCATTCAAGCACTCAAATATAAACTCTTCCTGAAACGGTGGGCTGGGTTGTCATCCCCGAGGCGGGTAGGAGGAGTTGGGAAAATTCCCAATTTCAGGAAGGTCTGGCTCTGGATGCTGGATCTTCATTGCTGGCAGAAGCCAGGCCAGCTGACTTTTTCTGAAGAAGGGTCTAGGCCCAAAACATCAGCTTTCCTGCTCCTCTGATGCTGCTTGGCCTGCTGTGTTCATCCAGCTCTACACCTTGTTATCTCTGACTGTGGAGAAAGTTTGGATGCAGCCACAGGGGACATAAGCTGCTGATGCGGCTGTTTAAAAGGCCTCACTATTGTGGGACATGGTTCTGGCTATAAAACTGAATAGAAAAAGTCCTATGGTCCAACCCTTCCCCCACATTCCCTATGCCCCACTTAGACCACTTCATGACCCCAAACATTTCCCATAGTCCATCACTGCCCTCATGCCAAATTTTGGCCATGTGAACAAGTAATTTTGAAAAATTGTTAATTCTAACTGCTTAGTCCTGTTTCATGCATGAAAATTCAATTTGTAGAATAAAGTTCATTTAAGAGAACTACATTTGCTGTGAATGCATTGGAATGTACTGGGGACAGCCTGATAATTAACACCAATCTGAGATGAGATAACAAGGTGTAGAGCTGGATAAACACAGTAGGCCAAGCAGCATCAGAGGAGCAGGAAAGCTGACGTTTCGGGTCTGGACCCTTCTTCAGAAATGGGCCTTACTGTACTGAAGATTCCCTTTGGTCATCCAGTCTTCACCTCCAAAGCTACTTTAAATCCACACTCGTCCCATCTTACAGCACTGGGCCCACAGCTTTGAATGTGATTACATTTCTAGTACTCATCCAAGTCCGTTTTAAAGGATTACCCGCCTCAATTACCCTCCCAGGCAGTGCATTCTAAATGCCCATGACCCTTTAGATGAACATATTTTTCTTCTAACCTCCTCCAAATCTTCTGCCTTTCACCTTAAAATTATGCCCCCTTGTTATTGACCTTTCAATTAAGGGGAACAGCTGCTTTCTATTTACCCTGTCCATGCCCCTTATAATTTTAATCCACCTCTATCAGGTTCCCCTCCTCAACCATCAACTCCCTTCTTCATGGATCCCATCCTGACAGACTTCATACTTTTCTGTTGATGATTAGACTGGTTGATGTATGGTTCCTGCTCCATTTTGGGCTGCTCATGACTCACTCTAATCTGACCGCAACATGCTCTTCCCATTGAGTGGTTAAAATGCCAAATCAATGGGAACAGGTTACTATTGTAAGGCTGGATATGATCTAAGATATTCTTGGGTATACGTGCAGCCACCAATCTTTCTTGCTGGAATTTGTTTAGCTATTGGCACCACGTTGGGAAGGATGTCCTCATGTGGTCTTTGGCAGAAGATAGGCTGGGACCTCATGAATCAAGGTATGTTCATGACTGACATAAAGCTATAGGCATTAAGTTAGATACACATTAGAATCATGTTCAACTGAAGAGTCTCCATCCATAACAGTTTAGCTACATATCATTCAGCACAACAGCAAGAATTCAGAAAACAGTTAGTTCTTCCCAGATTATTCTTTTATATACTGATGGGCAGAGCTTGTCTCGTGATGGCAATTAACCCGGTCAGGTCCTAACTTTCCAACACAACAGTTACATAGTGAAGGGTTTTGTTCCTTGAGCGCAGAAGGAGGATCCAATTAAGGCATTTATAATGATTCCAGGAGTTGGTAATACACAGAGAAACTAATTTCCTCTTGAGGAAATTGAGATCAGGGATATATAGCCTTAAAAATAAAGCAAGGCATTAGATGGGCAATGTCTGAAAACACTTCTTCACACAAATGGCAGTGGAAATCTAGAACTTCCTCCCCCAAAAAGGTCTTGAGGCTGGGTCAGTTAAAAATTGCCAAACCTAGATTAATAGAATTTTGTGAGGTAAAGGTACTCATAGGTACAGAACCAAGGTGGGTAAATGAGATTTTCACACTCATCAGTCAGGACCTAAGTGAATGACGGAATGGGTTTGAGGGACTAAATGGCTACTCCAGCTGATGATATGGCTTATTCAACAAAGAATCCGGTCAACCCCTTGCCCATAAAGCACTAATCCTCTCTCCTGTAATCAAGCTAATCTTAAACATTGGGGTGGCATGGTGGCACAGTGGTTGGCACTGCTGCCTCATAGCACCAGGGATCTGGGTTCAATTCCAGCCTTGGGCGATTTGCACATTCTCCCCATGTCTGCATGGGTTTCCACCTGGAGCTCCGGTTTCTTCCCACAGTCTAAAGATGTGCACATTAGGTGGATTGGCCATGCTAAAATGCCCTGTAGTGCCCAGAGATGCGCAGGCTATGTGGATTAGCCATGGTAAACGTGGGGTTGTGGCGATAGGGTAGCGGGGTGGGCTTGGGTGTGGTGCTCCTTGAAGGGTCAGTGCAGACTCAATGGGTTAAATGACCTCTTTCCACATTGTAGGGGTTCTAGGATTGATGTGACCAATGTTTCAATCGCAAAATCTGCATTCCATGCCCTCGGTATGAAGCAGCTTTTCATGCTCTCTGACCTAAATCGCTTGAATTTAATCTCATTCCAGATACATCAACACTTGGACATAGTTTATTTCTGCCTGGGGTGTCCTAGGCAGTACATCATACTTTTACACATCTCTACGCAGCAGCCTGCAATTTCATCAGTTCCAACAGCAGTAGCTCAGTTTTTCTCAATGTTGTGTTTCACAGTAGATCAATCATGTTTAAAAACTCCACTCCCCAGAAAAACAAACGAGCTGAAATTCTTTTATCTATTTAATCTAACTGCAATCCAAAGGGTGATGGTGAGAGTGTGCTGCATGGAGTAACAGGGATGTTACATCTGACAACATAAGGGAGCTCAGTCAATAGTCTTCAATGGTGATGTTTTGACTTGGAAAAAGATTAGTAAGTTTTCACACATTCTTAAATAGCAGAGTCTGGTTAGAAAAACAATAATTATATTCCCATACCATACTGCCAACTGATTTAAACTTTGCTTATATTTCCTGCATCACTCAAAGCTGGAGTTAAATGGCTACATGAAAAGGAAATGGTTTCCTAACTACTGATCAGAGGTGGGGCCCTGTCTTCAGAACACCATGGTCCTGAGCTCATAACTGGAACACAGGCTGCATATGCAGTTCCCAACATGTGTTACCAGCAGCTGAAACTGCACGTGAGGGATGCATAATTGGAACATTTACCCTCAAATGTTCAAAAGGATTAAACTCTGCATTTTAGATGAGAAAAGAAACATTGCCTTTAAAAGAAAACAGAGAAATCCACTTCTCTTTAGTTACTGCCTTCTGCTTGCTTCCAGTTTTTTTAAACATCTTTTAGAAATGGAGACATATCGCTTTGTGGAAATACAAATAAACATCTGGTCTAATGGAAATCTGGAGAGAAGCCAGTGAACTGCATGAAACACGTCATTATGCATCAATGTGCACACAACTTACATTTCTAAAACATCTAATGTAGTACATATATACCAGAGTGCTGAATAAACTCTGACAAAACTTAACACCGAGTCACATAAGGAGATATCAGGACAAGTGACCAAAGCTTGG